CTGTGTGTGTGTTGTGTGTGTGTGTGTGTGTGTGCATGTATGTATGTATATTTCTATATATATGCATATATACACACACATACATACATACGTATATATATATATATGCAAATATAGCAATAAATTTAGTTATTCGCCCGTTGTCGTATAAAATCAACACTACGTTAGTGTAAAGGACTGTCTATATCCATTCTCATGTCTACAGATTATATTTATATGAAGCATGTATGTACGCATTGTAGCTCTAGGTGTCTGGCTAGATTTCGGGCTGGCGCATGATTCGGTGTATACGTGCACACTACTGGAACCCCTAGACTCGTCAGAATTATTCTCTTTAGATTTATAAGTTTATTTTCAGTATGGAATAACTAGTATATAAACGTTTATATTTCTTGTATGTGTAGTGTCATGTGTATATCTCCACAATGCTTGTGATCCATTCGCATTATTCCTGTGCATATCTGATACTCGCACCCCAATGCTTCCGCTCAAAATTTTAAACCCAACCCGAAGTTGCTGTCTTAATTTTCAATGTTTTGTTTCCAATATCTAGGTGAAGCACTGGATGTATATACCTATTTGACCACTGGGCATAGGGTGTGTAGTGGTTTCATAGACAATGCGACGGAGTCGCTCAATGCCTCCACGTGTGTGCTGGTGTGGAATCCAAAGAATATCCGATACGGGTACCACAACGAAACGATGAAACAGGTAGGTATGGTGGTTGTAGTCTGGAGTACAATATGGAGTAAGATCTATAAATAATACACGTGTTTGGTGTTATAGGATCTACGATACGGATACAACGAAACGATAGACAGGTAGGTATGGTGGTTATAAACGGAGTACACTCTGGAGTAAGATCTGTTAATAGTACAATCTGGAGTAAGATCTGTGAATAGTACTCCACGTGTTTGGTGTTCTGGGATCTACGATACGGATACCACAATGAAACGATGAGACAGGTAGGTATGGCCTGGAGTGAGGCCTATAAATAGAATTCCACTTGTGTGATGTGGAATCTAAAGGATATCCGATACGAGTAACGCAGCGAAACGATGACACAGATAGATGCGAATGGGGTCTGGAGTACAATCTGGAGCAATGACTATATACGAAACTTCACGTGTGTGGTGTGGTGTGATGAAAGCAATACTCGATGCAACAGTCAAAACTAAATAACGACACATGTAGATAACACTTTACACCGGAGTACAATTTGGAGTGAAATCTAAATATAGAGCTCCACGTTGGCGGTGTTGGGAAACTTGAGGAGCAATTAAGACCTTTAGCAGATGGGAAACGATGACAGAAGTAGCTGGGTCGCCATCTGAAATTTATTACTTATATAACTCTTTCAACGGATGTCTATTTATAGACAAAGTGTGTCTAGTTGTTGTCGATGTAATCATTGAGCACAGTTTTGTGTTTGTGCTCCTATTCGCAGTCTCTGGGCAGGGTTTGTCCTCAAAATCTAGTACCGAACTTCAAAAATCTGCATCGGTTGTTTCTCCTCGATTTTGGCAGAGTCGTTTGTGATAAATATCATAAATTCAGTCTCAAATTTTGCTATTGTTTATCCCGATTTTTGCCTTTTTCAGGTCGTGCGTCTCAATTCCCATGTCCTGGACTCAGTGAGAAAGGCGAAGAATCTGCAGTTACATATCTACGCAGTGCGGGCGAGCTATTTACCCCATCCAAGGTGAACTTAGATAAGAGTGTATGTCTGTGATGCAAAGTAATAAGTATATATCTATGTGTATACATACAATAGTATGTCTAGATATATAGCATCCGGGCATAACCATCAAAGCGAATAATTTGCAGATGCACATCTACACAACGAGGGCGAGCTATTTACCTCGTCCGAGGTGGGTTTGAAATGTATGTATATTGTGATACAGATCAATATATATATATA